GCAGGCGGCGGCTGCCTCCTTTCCCTCGGATTTTGGGCGCAGCCTTAGCCAGCAGCCACCTCGATGGGCTCTGTCCTCAGCAGCGCCCACAGTTTCGGGGAGAGGCGCCCGGGAGCAGGCCGGAGCCCCGGTTTGACCCGCGGGCCTCCGGGAGGGAGCCCGCGCTCGCCTTCCTCCCCTTGGTTTTCTGCCTACCACATCGCTCACCCGCCCGCTGCCTAGCTCGGAAAGTTTAGACGCGTTTGAATTTATAGAGTGCATGATGTCATTGACCCTAGACCAAATGTATTAGAAAAGGATATAATTCTCAGATGAATTTAAGAACGTCTAAGCACCCGCTGTCCTAGGGATGCGATGCTGCGTATCCCTAGGCCACCACTCAGGAGCTCACAGAGGAGCGTCAGCCTGCAAGAATATGCTTTTTTTTTTCTTTTTTCTTTTAAGAGGCACCGGAGAAATATCATTTGAAGGTCAACCTGTCAGTGTGGGTTAATGAAAAGGACTTCTGCCTAATGGGCCTGCTTATACCCTCAGTTACACTCACACAACCTTGATTTCAACGTCGAGGGCAGAGGGCAGAATTGGGCCCACCAGCCCCGAATTAATTGCTGCCATTGGAGGTGGAGGAACCCTGGTTTACGTTACTATTATCGGTAATGAACGCCCACATATTTCAGGCATGATAATCTCGCAGCCGTTGTGTATACAAAAAAGAGCAGGGACGAGAAAAACCCAAGACACTGACCGTTTTGTAAGTTGCAACGATGGGCGGTAAGCGCGGGACCGTACACACTTGACCACTGCATGTGTAAGCAATTATTCGAGGATTGCTTATATTTGTGACCGAGGATCCAGATTTGTATTCAAACCTTAGAAAGGAATAACGGAAAGAGAGGAAGAACAGGACAAACGCAAATCAAAACCTTTTCTTTGTCAGGAGAGAAATAATAAAGTCCTTATAAAGTTCTGCAATGAACGCACCGTGTTTCTCTATTTATTGAATTTGTTATATTTTTATATATATATATATATATATATTTATCCATATACAAATATATACACATACTCATGTATGTGTACATACGCACACTTTTTTTCACCCATATAATATGGTTCACATTCCGAGGAAAGAGCACCGCGAAGTTGCTCTTGAGCTCGGGGCTGGGGAAATATCTCGGCGAGAGTAACTGCTTTTATTAATAAATATTTTTCCTCGAGCATGTGAAGTTCACGCGTTGGAGGAAGCAGAGGTTAGGCTGGCATCGTTTTGGGTTTAGGCTAACAAAAATCAACACTTCTATTGTCAATATTAATGGAAATTCTCCATTTAACAGGCTGGGCTTTAAGCAGCGTTCCTAGATCAAAGGCAACCTCGCTTGACTTACGAAAGATCCCTCCGGAGCGCAGACAATTAACTGCAATTTCGCCCTAACTGCACGCCCGGAAATGTTGGTGCCTTCCTTTCGGTGCCCCCCGCCCCGTGTACCTGCCGCAACCCAACCCAGCCCGCTCCGCCTTGCCCGGGAGCTGCAGCAGCACGCGGAGCGGCGCTTAAAACTAAGCAGCTGACTCTTGCAAATGTCGCCTGCACACTTGCTGGAAGCATCCGTGTGTGTAGCCGCCTGTACCGCAGTTCCTATATGCGTATCTCAGTGTAACTGATCTGGCTGAGTGAGGTCTTTTTGGTAATTTGGATACACCAAGTCTCCAGTTAATGACATATAATCAGCCTTTAGGTCACTTGGTCATTCTCTTATTACAAACCCCTCCTGCTCTCTCTGATCTCCTTTCAAACTAAATTTCACACAAACAAATAAAGTAAGACAGGGACAAGTCCTTAAAATACAAGGGAGAAATATTGGAGAACTCCTCATGGGGAACTATAAACATTTTAAAAAGAAAAACCGAAAAGATAGGAAAGAACATCTTATCGAGAAAGAGAGCATTGTGTACAAGACAAGGAGGGGAAAACGGTCTGGCTTGTGTTAAAAATGACATAAAATTAAAATAAAAATAATTACAAACAGAAATGGCATAACATAAACAGAAAGCAGGAGGCTTTACTGGAAACGCGCGGCCGTACTGTATTTTGTTCTTACAGATGATACAACCGATCCGTGGATACGCAAAATGTTTATTTGCTTCTCTCTAGCTGGCAAAAAAATTGTCTTTTCTCTTCAGGAAAGTAACTGAAGAAGCCGAGAAACGGAGAAGTGAATGCCATTTACCTTCTCAGATCTGCAGGGAAACGGAGCCGTGGCCAAAACATTGGGTGTAAATGCGACAACAAAAAATAAATATTTTACATCCCCGCGCAGAACATATTTTACTTAGTCAACACTTTGTTTTTCTGCTTTTCTTTTTTCTTCTCCCTAGGAAGAGACATTGTCCCCTTTTTACTAAGTATTCCTTAAAAGATCATTTTGCTCTCTTTCCAGATACGTATCTATATTTGTGTTGTTGTTATTATTATTATCATTATTTTTTCCAGCAGAAATACTGACTGTGTTGTGTGTAGAACATGGAGTGGTGGCCGCAGAGAGGAGCGAGCAGACGTGCCTTAGGTGGCATTTGAAGGCCTTGCAGGCTGCAGGCAGCTCATTTCGAAAGCGATCCCCGTGTTTCGGAACTCAAGTTGATTTATAAAATCGAGAGCGGGCAGATTTCAGTGTCGCTCAAGTGTTAGCACTTGAGGAAGAAACCTGAAAGAGGACTGAAATCCACACTCCCTTACAGGCATTAGCACCTTTCAAAATATTATCAACATGCGTTTTACCAAAGATCTCATTTGTGTTTAATACAGGATTCAGACAGGCGCTAATTGAGCATGTAAGTGAATGTGAGGCTGCGAGAATTAGTGCCGGGGCAGGCTTACACAGCGAGAGAAAACGGAGCCATGAATATATTGAAAAGAGTGTCACAAGGCCCCAGCGCGGGGCATATTAATGTGACAAATCTTGTTACTGGCTCACTACATTCCCGGTCTTTTCAGCGTTTCTCAGGGCCCCTTTCCTCCCCCC